AAATGTCAGATTTCATTAAGGATGTAATAAAGCATATTCTATATATTCTATACATAATACTTACACTGATCGACTTAAAAACAGGTCTGAACACGTTACCCTGGGGATTAAATATGGTGGAGTTGAAACCCCATTGCCAGCATGGTTACTTACTTTTTAGTCCTCGTTCGGACGTAGTCCAAAAACGGGGACTTATGGTTTGCCCTGTGTGCGTCCGTGTGTCCGTGCGTCCGTGATCACCTGTATCTCGAACATGCATGGGCCGATTAAGTTCAAACTTCACTCATACATCACACATTATATGGGACATATGCACATGCATTTTTTTCATGATCCGATTAATGATAGTCGAATAGCAGCCATTTTAAGGTGGAAAATGGCGGTCGCTTTGAGGTCGAAAATGCATTGAAATTGCACATTTTCACCATTCCGGACCCGGATCTCAGTTATGCATGGACGGATTTTGTTCAAATTTGGTACATACATTAAACATAATAGGACCTTGATGCACGTCATTTTTTTTTTCGGATCAAGTTCGAAATGGCCGACTGGTGGCCATTTTGTTTTAAAGAATTCAGTTCTGGATCCGTATCCGAGACATGTCTGGATTGATTAAGTTCAAACTTCACACACACATGGTACATCATGTCACAAATAGATATGTGCATCTGTTTCATGATCCGCTTAACAATAGCTGAATGATGGCCATTTTAAGGCCGAAAATGCATCAAAATCACGTATTTTCACAATTCCGGAACTGGATCTCAGTCATGCATGAATGGATCTTGTTCAGATTTAGTACAATGTACGATTTCGGTCATGATTTGCTTTGAGTGTATATGTCACTCAAATATGACAAAACGGGGAAGTGTCATTGACAATGACTTTTTTTGAAGAATGCAATACCAATGACCATTCGAAAATGGCATTGTAAGTACATTGGCATCCTAAAATTTGAGTGCCACAGTCAACTGCATTTATATATTATTGCCTGATTAGATCACAAAAGACAGAACTATACAAACATTGCCTATCTGTCTTGGCACCATAATATCCAGTTGCTGCTAAATTGCTAAGATTGTACATTAGAAATATGCAGTACAATTAACCGAAATTTAATATTCACTTGCATCATAAATAGTAGTACTGCACTTGCAAAATACTTAAAAAATACAATTTATAAAACCTAATTGTAATACATATTTTATATATACCCTTTGATTTGTTTGTAATTTTGAAACTTTTGTTGTTTTTGTTTATTTGTGTTTGTTTATTCTGATCTGTATCCTTACCATACAGCACCCACTGATGGTGCAGTTGTGTAATAAAGTTATTATTATTATTATATTCATGTCTCTTGTAAGAGTTGCTGGTGCCTGAGTGTAAACTACTTCTTACCGGTATAGTTGACAAATTTTCATGGATAGTGAAATTGTATCCCCCTAGAAAATCCCAGGATGTGTGACCTTCAGGGGTCAAGAAAAGTTCCAGGATATGTGACCTTCAGGGGTCAAGCTAATACCAGGATGTATTCCATTCAGGGGGTCGAGCAAAGTACCAGGATGTGACCTTCAGGGGTAAAGCAAAGTACCAGGATGTGTGACCTTTAGGGTTCAAACAAAGTACCAGAATGTATGACCTTCAGGGGTCAAGCAAAGTACCAGGATGTGTGACCATCAGGGGTCAAGCAAAGTACCAGGATGTGCGAACTTTAGGGTTCAAGGAAAGTACCAGGATGTGACCTTCAGAGGTCAAGCAAAGTACCAGGATGTGTGATCTTCAAGGGTCAATCATTGGCATAGTATAAAAAAATTATGTAATTGTGTTACAAATTTGTATTTTACATACACTGTTTTATTCCTTTATGTTTGCCTCAGGAGTGGAATTGCACCATTCACCAAAGCCAGAAATGTACTAGAGGGGCTGCCTGAAATACCAGTAGATAACAAAATAA